CAGCTGGGCGTTTCTCAGATCCAGGAATGGCTGTTTCCAAAGGGAAAGTGGGAGTGGATATTATTGGAAAGATCCCATCTTCTCAGGAACGAAGAATGTCAATGTTTCACTAAGAGTTTTTGGAAAACAAATATTGCGATGGGGACCAGTAAACACTCTTGTTCTCCGGCTTTGACATTTCCAGAGTGTGTGCTCCCTCTCTCGTTCCAGGTAGAGGTGGGACTGGTAGAGCAGATAGCTCTACCTCGGTCCAGGTAGAGCAGCCCTTTGTGTGGTCTGACCACTTCCTGCCTGCACTTATTCTTGGACACCACGTCCATCCATGGAGCTGCCCAGTGATGGTGAGGGTTGTGATAGGTTGGCACTGGGACAAGAGTCCTCATTTTATAAAAATTGGGTTCTCCCCTGCCAACAGTCTTAATTTTGACCCAATTAAAATGACAAAGATAAAAGCTTAAAAAAAATTGAATTATGTTAGCCAAACCTGCGCGCCAGGGAACAGGATGGAGAGGAATGCCTCTCCCTGATTCTAGGAAGCCGCTACCTAGAAAACCAGAATCGGATAACATTTCCTCCACCTTAGTGGCCTCTGGAGCTTCTGCAGGGGGGGGAATGCCACCCGTGGCACAGCTATGTTCTGGAGCTGAAAGAACATTTACTCAAAAGTAATGCCTACTAGCTACAGTCTTGAGTGCGATTATTCGATGAATATTTATCTCCCCCAATACAAGTAAGCTCCATGAGAGCAGGAACTGTATTGCTTCCCCTCGCCTATAAAGTGTCACATAGTAGACATTCCATAAATGTTTCCCGAATGAACCATGTCTGACATCAGTCTAGAACTTAGCTCCACAGAGCAATTTAATATACCTGTTTCTTTGGAACCTCCAAATCCTGTGAAGTATGTCAAGTGTGTATTGTAGGCAAATGAGTAAAGCAACCCACTTATTTCACTGCTGAGGAGAATAGACTGCTGTTTGTTATTACCATCTCCAACTTATAGGGGAAGAAAGTAAGGCAAATATTATTCTTATTTCCCAAATGGGGAAAGTGAGGGAGGTATTATTGTCCTTATTTTATGGATGAAGAATCTGAGACCCAGAGAGGTAGTTATTCGCCTAAATCACAGTGTAGGTTAGTAGTAACTGAATTAGAGCCTAAATCTTCTGTCATAGCCTCAAGCTTTTCCCTGAAAATAGTTTTACATGCTCCACTTTATAGGCAATGAGAATGGTTCACAGAAGGTGCTTATTAAAGAATTGGAGCACAGGTCAGATTCCTGCCTTCTTTTGCAGTACCACCTTCAGTGCTGATTTACAAAACGTCATGTTCATTACCTTGATTCTCATAACTACTTTCTTAAGTGCACAGGGCAGGTATTATCAATCCGATTTACCTTGGCAGAGACTGAAGTTCAGAGAGGTGAGGAGATGATCAAAGTCACATACTGCACAGGGAGCTAGGCCTGGACGAGAGTCCAAGTCCTCGGACTCCCGGCCCAGGGTTTCCTCCACTACTCCACACTGCCTCTCCTGTAGAAATTGCACAACACACACTTTAACTGCAGGGCTTTTAAACATGGACACTGTCCAAATGAGGCTTTTCTGGAGTGGCCTTGAAGAAGAACTGGGAGAAGCCTTTTCTATCTTTTTTCATGAGAGGTTGGAAGAAAGTTGACGACTATGAGGATTGTTTTTCTCCGCTGTTTTACTCTTAGACTCATTGTCTCTAAAGCTATTCAAGAATGAGATTCCCACGCATCTGGCAAAGCCAAGGTACTGGAGGTCAGAGTTCCAATCCTCTTTCATTCACCCCAACTAATAATGTAATTATCTTATCACATAGATCTTCTTTAGTGAAAAATGAGTCCTAAGATGCCTGGACAATGAGGCCCAGCTTGGTTTGTTCTATCAAAGAAAAGCCAGGCAAATCACTTTATTAAAAAGGGGCTAAGTTGTATCAGTGGGCAAGTCTTCACTAGAAAAATTGCCGGAACTGAGAAAATCCACGTTTGCCACGAACAACCACTGACTTCCCCTGTGGGCCCATACCCATGTGACTCCTATTAAGGCCATACTCACATCTAGGCCTGTCCACACTAGAATGCTGTAGCCATCAAAGAATTTCCTGGGCCTGGAATTACAGACTTCTAATGGCCAACAGACCCTTAGATCCAAAGGGCTTTGGCCTTCCTTACTAACTCATGCTAGCCTTGAAATCTAGCCAGAGCTCCTCCTGGAACTTGGAGGTTCTGTCCATTTCCATGATGTCCAGAGAAAGCTGAGGTGAACCTTCTTTGTGCTTCTTCCGT